CGGGGCGGGCCGGGGCGGGGCGCGACCAGGAAGTCCGCGGGCCGGTCACCCCCACCCTCCTCCCTCGGTCTCCCCGCCAAGGCTCGCCCCCGCCCAGTCCCTGGCGGCCCACCTCCCCACCCGCCCGTCTCCGCTCCCGCAGCCTTTAAGATCAGGCCTCCCAAGGTCAGGTGTCCCGGCTCCTCCTCGACACCCCATTCGAGCAGAGTCCCCAGCCTAGGCGCTAGGCATTTGTCTTCTTCCCCAGCATTTCGCCCCCACCAACCTCCGCGGGAAGATGCTGAGAAAAGGGGCCCTAACCTGATGCCTTTGGCAAGCCCAGGGATCGAGTGGTGGGCGATGTGGGTGATGACCAGAATGGATCAGGCTGGGGCAGTCCCCACCCATGTCCCCTGTCCCGGGGGAGTGCAGGGTGGCGGTGATTCAGCAGTGGGAAGGTCCCGGACCCCTGGGGAGAGTGGGGGAAGGGGGCTGGCGTCAGCACCCCGGGGGAAAGACAAGATCAGCGGAGGCGCAGGCGGAGCCGCGGGCCCCAAAAAACAGGATGTCGCGTCGTCTTTCCGCAATAGGCGGCTCTGAGCCGCCGGGCTCTGGGGAGGGGGCGGGGAGAACCGAGGAGCACCTCTGGCCTCCCGGGCCCCTTCTCGCCCCTTCTTGCCGGGGCAAGCAGCTGCGTCGGGCTGAAGGGCCGCACCCAGCCTGAGGTCCGACTTGGGCCCTGCAGAACGATGGGTGGGCGGACTCGTGGGCGCCCTCTGGCGCTGCAGCTCCCGGACTTGGCACGCGGAGTTGTGACTTGACAGTCACCTTGGTACGGCGCAAACTTTCTGAGCGCCTGCCACGTGCCGAGCTCGGTGCTAGATGCTTTGGAGAAAAACTGTTTAAGACAGGGCCCCTGTCTTCCAGAAATTTTCCAAGAGAGAGAGCAAACCTGGGAATAAAATAGCCGAAGCTTTCTGAGCTTCAGTTCCGTAGACTTGAATAGGATAATTTTTCTCCTTTACGCTGTAGTTGGGAAGATAACAGGAGAATGGGTATAAAAGGCCTGCGGTCAATGCATGGTCCACAGTAGACTCAACAAACGCCTTTTAAGAAAAAGAAAATCATGCTACTGCATAAGAATGAGCTTTCTAAGCGCAACATGCCTGCCCTCATCTATGGCTCTTTGTGACTTCTATTCCCTCTGCTTGGCTTCTGTTTTGCCTGCCAAGGGAAATCGATGCCGTTTTCACAGTGTGTCCCCAAAGGACTGCTGTGCCTAGCCACCATCAGCTCTCCTGCAACTACAGTGGGTATGGGTGTGCATACACACACTACCACCCGTTCTGTCATGCACTTGATAGGCCCTTTTGGTATTGTCCGATTAGCCACCATCAGCTCTCCTGCAACTACAGTGTGTATGGGTGTGCATACACACGCTACCACCCGTTCTGTCATGCACCTGATAGGCCCTCTTAGTATTGTCCGATTTTTTTTTTTGAGAGATGTTTGCTATTAAAGCACTTGCACTCACCAGAGAGACAGAGACAAAGAGAAAGAAAGCAAGAAATCACCCCCCAGGGGGAATGGCCACACCACAATCCCTTCTCCATTCTCCTCTTGAGATTTTGAGATTTTGGGCACACATACAAGCGCCTGGCATGAGTTTCAAGATGCCAGGGTCCAGGACTAGAACCACACTTGGCCATGTGGGAGTCTAGTACTTAACCACTAGCCACCTGCTGTCCCCATCCAACAGAAATTTAATGTGAGCCACATCTGTAATTTAACATTGTCTAGAAATAATATTTTTAAAAGTATTTATTTTGGGTCCAGCAGATGATGGGATGGTTAAGGGCGCTGGACTCCCACATAGCCGATCCTGATTCGAGTGTCGGACCTGGTGGTTTGCTTCCTCGATTTCCCTCTCTCTTCCACTCTCACTCTTACTCTGTCCCTCTCTGGTCAAATGAAAATAAATAAATTTAAATAAAATTTAAAAGAAAAGTATTTATTTTATGAGAGAAAAAGATTTTAAAAAGAGAGAGAGAGAACCCCTGAGAGGTCTTGACTAACAATACACTCCCAGACTCTGCTAGCCCCAGATCATGGGCAGGAGGTTGCCCAGTGTACCTAGGGAGGTCTTCTCACATACACTGGGAACATTTCAAGTGGGTCAGTGTCTGTAAGCATCCTGCTGTGCCACTATCTGATTCCATAATGACATTTTAAAAAAGCTAAAAAGAAACAAATAACCTTAATTTTTAATAGTTCGCTATAAGACAAATATGCTCACCAGAGAGAGACAGAGAGGAGGTAAGTCAGAAATCACTCTGTCAGGAGGGATGACCATACCATAATCCCCCATTCTTCTCTCAGGATCTTGGACATGCACACACACACACACACACACACACACACACGCCCAGGATGTTTTCAAGCCACCGGGTCTGAGACTTGAACCACTCAGTCAGCTATGTAAGATCCAGCTGCCTTAACCTTCACACCACCTGCTGACCCCAGTAAAATTAATTTTAATAACATAGTGAAAGGTCCAGCAGGTGGTGTGGTTGGGGTGCTAGACTCCCACATGGCGATTCGAGTACTATACCTGGAGGCTCGTGTTTTCACTTTCCCTCTCTGTCTCTCTCTGGTGAGCACTTGTACCATGTAGCAAATTATAAAATAATAGTGATAACTAAAACTGAATAATTCCTTAAAAAGAAGCGTGATAGCCACATATAGCCAAAATATTATCATTTGAGAATATAATCAATATATATAATCAATAATTCTTTAATAAACTTTTCCCCCAGGTCTTTGCCATTGGGCATGTGCAGTTGCCAGGGAGAGACAGAAAGACGGAAAGTGACAGCTCATCCCCACCAAGGAGGATGGCCATGCCACAATCCCTTCTCCATTCTCTCAGGATTTTGGACATACATGCACATGTGCCTGGTGTGGTTTTCAAGCTGTTGGGTCCACGTCTTGAAATGTGGCCAGCCACGTGGGAGTCAAGCACCTTAACCACCACACCACCTACTGGCCCTTAAATATCCTTTTTTTGGTAATAAATCTTAGAAATCTGGTGTGTATTTTCCACTTTCAGTGTGTCTCAGTTTGGGCTAGAAACTTTTCAAATGGTCTAGCATGTGTGGCTAGTGTTTACTCCATTGGATGAACAGTTGAAGGCTCTATTAGAGTCAGGCTGATAAATGATTGGAGGGTGGGTTCATTCACTGGCAACCTCCCCTGATCTGCTAAGCAGATTTTTGCTTCCCCCCCCCCCCCCCGCTCTTCTATGGTCCCCATAGCCCTTGAGACTAACTACTTTCTGTGGAGAGGGAAGAGCAGGAAGGACAAGGAGAAAATTTCATTCCCTTCCTTACCCAAATGGAAATACATAGCTGGTACTTGGTATTTGATGGGTGAAGAAAAGATCCTGAGGCCAGCTGGTGGCATGGTGGTTAAAGCGGCTAGATCTCACATGGCCAATTGTGTGGATGTGGTGTCCCAGACCAGAAAAACATGCTGGGTGTGTATGCATGCATGCTCAAAAATCCTGAGAGGAGAAATGGAGAAGGAATTGTGGCATGACTAATCCCCATGGGGATACCTTCTCTCCCTCCCTCTCTGTCTCTCTCCAGCAGGTGCCCCACTAGGAAAAAAAAAAAAGAAGGAAGGAAGAAAAAATGAAAAGTTAAAGGATTTTGAGTTTTCTAAATGACAGTTTAGAGGAAGCCCACACACTAAATGGTTTTTATGAAGCTATTAAAAATTATATTCCATAGGGGCTGGCAGGTGGCTTGGTGGTTAAGGGTGCTGGACTCCCACATGGCTACCCACGGTTCGAGTCCTGGACCTGGCATCTTTCTTTCTCACTTTTTCTCTCTCTTTCCCCCTCTCAGGTCCTATTAAGAA